TGTGTTTCAGGCCAGAGAGGGAGTTCTTCTACCATTCTGAGTACCAAGGAGCCAACTCCCATCCTCATACCAGTGTGCTAGGTAGATGGGCTTGCTGTGTCTAGGGAAGGGTGTTGACTCTGCATGCATGTGCTCATTGTGTGGGCCATGTTGGGAGGAAGGACCCCAGAGTCAATTCCAGTGGCTTGAGGTTCTAATTCTGACCTTTGTGCTCTAAAAACACTTGATAATCCCATTTCCTCATATATATTTGGAGAATAAATATCTACATCACAGAATTAAAGAAGATGCTATGTGTGAAGTACTTGTTTAGAACAGATAAAAATGGTAGCTATCTTTGGTGACACTGCCTAATGAAGAACCAAAGATAGGCATAGGCATGAATACACATTGATATGATTATCTTCTCATTTTTAAATTGTATCAAGAACGGCAATGATCAAGCAGGTTAAAAGTATGGACTTTGGAGCTGTTCTGACTTCATTTAAATCCTGCTACCACCATTTCTTGCTGGTTTGGCTTTGGGAAATGTATTTAATACTTTTGGCCATGGAATTGTTGCTTTGGGTTTTGTTTTCTTCCTTTAAAATATTTTATTGGAATCTTTTTTTACTAAACCAGGTACCTCTATAAGACAAAGTAAATTTAAGTGAAACTTGACTACCTGATACATAAATCCCAAAATTTCTAGACAATCTTTTGCCCGGTAAGTTCACAGCTACTCACACAGGTTAATACAGAAAAGATGTAAGTTCCTAGGATCTGTCCAATAACAAATAAAGGACAAACTTAGAGTCAGCAAAATCCACAGCAGTCAGAGGAAAAAATCTGGGTTGGTGCTTGTGATAGCCTGGCACTGAAGTAGCAGACCCATTCCCTAGGTGCCCAACAGTTCCCAAGGGGTTATTCCAAACTTTAGATTTTCAGTCATCAAGTTCTTGCAGAATCTTTGTGACCACAGAATTGTTATGAATAAAAATACCTAAGCCATGTATTTGTCTTATTATTATTGTCACCTTTTTTCTCTGCCCTATATCCAGAATAACTAAATATGTAACAAGTTGCCTCACTATGAGACCTGATTATGCACTGAATCATTCTTTTTCAAAAAATTGTGCTGTGGTAAGTGGAAAATTAAACATGAAATTGGTATCCTCTATTTCAGTGGGGAACAGATCATCATTTCTGGCCTTTTCCCTTTTTCTACCCAGACTCAAAATTATAACAATCACACATGCAAACAGCAGAGAAAAATATCTGGTCTATGGAAATAATTTGCTGTTGTTGTTTAAGTTGAAGATAGGAAGTCTTCCACTTTGCTTGCATTTACTGACATCCCAAAGATTCCTATTGTTTTAGGATTGATATTTAATATAATTGCATTGTTTCACAAGCTAAGTCATTATATCACACCTGGCAGCTAGATTTTCCTACATGCCAAGGAAGTGTTTTTATTTGTTAGTTTGTTTGCAGTGTTGGGCATCAAACCCAGTCCCAGCCCTGTGAAATGTTTGGGGTTTTTTTAACCTGTCATTTCTTTCCAGCTGTTAGAATACAGACCTACGCATATGGTATTACTTGACATTCTTGAGCATTCCACTTGTAGTTCAGAGTTTTGATTGGGCTAGGGATATAGCTCAGTGGCAAAGCACTTCCCTAGCATGTGCAAGATCCTGGATTCAATCCCCACCAACACCACGAGAACAACAAAAAGAGCCTTGATCCACAATAGGTAAACTAACTTTTCAGAAGTGAAGGCCAAGATGTGGGGGAAATCTGAATAAGAGGGAGGAATCTAGTATTGTGAAAAAGAATATGGGGGGCTTTTTTTTCTAGTGCTGAGAATGTACCCAGGGTCTTCTTGTCCATTCTAGGGAAGTGCTTTACCACTGAGCTACCCCCTCTAACCCTGGGAACATAGAATAGAAAACTAAGCACAATAACAGATATTTGGCATTTCTGCCTAGAAATATCTCTCTCTCTCTCTCTCTCTCTCTCTCTCCTTCCCTCCCTTCCTCCCTCCTTCTTTCTCTCTCTCCTTCATCCTCCCTCTCCCCTTCTCTCTTTTTCCAGAGGTAGGCATTGAACACAGGGGCACTCTGTGACTGAAGTGTATCACGAGAAGCTCCTATCTCAGTTTCCCCAGTAACTTGGGTTACAGGTACACCCCACTGCCCATGACTCTGCTACTCTTTCTTCCTTTCCCTTTCTTCTCTTTCTTTTCCTTTTGGTTCTTTAAGACAAGGTCTTACTATGTAGCTCAAGCCAGCCTTGAACCTAGTATGTATCCCAGAATGGCCTGGAACTTGTGATCCTTCGGCCTCGGCCTCCCAAGTACTGGGATTATAGGTATGCACCATCACACCCAGCTCCCATTACTCTTTCTCAAAGAGAGTGGAAATGGAAGATAGCATGGGAGTTTATAACACCAAATTAACTGAAAATTGACTATAAGTAAGTAAGTAGCTGATAAGTAATTAACTAATTAGTTAATTAGTGAGTAACTAATAAAATGATGTAAAGACTGACCATATAGGTAAATAAAGGCACAAAGGTGACCTAGATACCAAATGCTTGCAGTACTGCTTCTTGTCAGCAGATAGCACTCTCAGTGTTAGCAGTTGCAAGTTAAGGTACTCCTGGAAAAAGGAAGAAGTGTGATTTAAGAATTGGGTGCAGTGGTGCATACCTGTAATCCCAGAATCCAGGAGGCTGAGGCAGGAGGATGACTGTGAGTTCAAGGCCAGCCTGAAATACATAGGGAGACCTTGTCTCAAAAAAAAAAAAAAGAATTATATTTTGCAGCTTTTTTTTTTTACCGAAAGTTGTACAGCTTTTGCCAAAGATAATGGCACTCTGATTAACTAGAGTCATGGAACCAGGAGGGATCTGACCAAAAAGAGGGGGGAAAAGGTTTAATTGATACAGAAGAATTAAAAGAGAGAGAGGGAATGCCTTGAAAATCATGCCTTGCAAATCAAACTAGTCACTTACCTTCTAGTGGTTCATTTGGAATATCAAGAGTCCTTCAAATTTAGCCCTTGTAATTAATGAGAAATGTGACCAAACTGAGAGGTTTTATGCTTTTTGTACAAATACAATTTATTAATATCTCCCCATTAACTAAAATTTGTGAAATTTGGTATGTGGTCTTGGGAGCTTTATAAATATGTTTTATTATTGCTAGTTTGTAACCTTGGGAAAGCTACTTGACTATATGACTCAGTTCCCCCAGTGATTAAGTAGGGATGAAAATGGTACCTACCCCATGGTGAAGGTCAATCTTGTGCCAGCATGGAGCTTGGTACAGAGTAAGCACAGGCATGGTAGCTGTTTCAATGATGATGATGATGATGGCTGCACTTTTATTGAGAGCCTTACCCACGCTTGTCAGAAATAGGCAGGAATATAAATAAATAAATAATCAGTCAAAATGTATGGATCTTGTGTGAATTCATTTTTTTAAATATGGTTATTTTTTTCTCTCCTTTTTCAGTACTAGGGATTGAATCTATTTTATATGATAAAATTCACAATATTCTTTTAGGAAGCAATTGTGATAAAATGTTATAATAAATCAATATAATGATCCTGACTAAATTAGAATTTCTGAGAAATTAATTTCTCATTCTTTCAGGTGACTATCAGTCAAAAGATTTCATAGTTTTTGTTTGTTTGCTTTTGCTTTTGTTTTTGAGATGAAATTTCACTATGTTACTCAGGCTAGCTTTGAACTTAAACACCCCCCTTTTGCCTCAGATGGAATCTCAAATATGTGCCCCCATTACCCACCTTAAAATTCTAATAGTTTTTAAGCCTACTGTTTTATCCTTTTTCTTTATTAGTGTAATTGTGCTCGCTTCAGTAGCATATATACTAACACTGTATTAGTGTAATTAGTCCCCCACTCCCAGTTTAAGTGAATCTATTTATTTATTTATTTACTTACAGTACTGGGATTGAACACAGGACCTTCACACACACTGTGCTACATTCCCATTCCTCTGTGTGTTTTTACTGTGAGACAGGGTCTCTCTAAGTTGCTTGCAATCCTTTTGCCTCAGCCTCTCAGAGTACTGGGATTACAGGTGTGTGCCCGCCCCCACATCCCTCTTTTAGTGAATCTTTGAACTGGCTTATTCTGGTTCTCTTTTCTTCTGGTAATTTTAAAATAAACTTAAATGTATATTCATAACTAAATTATATGAAAATTTTTAGGATACGATCTTGAGCTCAGATATCAAATAAAAATAAATACTATGATAATAGACATAATTCTTATTTTTCCCTTGGTAATGATTTCACATGTGTGTGTCTGTGTGTATCTATGTATATCTGAAATTTTATCTTACACTGTGATTGGCACATTATAGTGGCAATAATCTTAGGCATCTATCAGAGAAAAAGTTCTGTTCAAAGACCAGATGACAAACCAGTTTGAGTCAGATTCCTAGACATGTGAAATACTAATAGTGCTTTACATATAGTAATCATTAATCATGTTTATGTGGAAGAAAGGGATGGGGAAAGGAAAGAGAGGAAGAAGCACAAAGATAACTCCTCTCTCCACCCCTGCAAACAGGTGAGGACAGCACAGGTGCTCAGCAGGGTGCAGAATGAAGGAGTGAATTACTACCCCTACAGCACTGTTGCACCACTGTTGCCAGGAGACAAAGAGGTGAGGTAAAGATGGTCAGCTTTCTTTCTGCTCTATATTCTGTGGTTTCTTTGACTACTAGAAGTTAGTTAGGTTGCAAATTTGCTTTAAAGTAGGAAAACCAAAATGCTTTCAGATGACATGGAGGGAGAAAATGTTCCTCAGCCTGTCCACGTCAGCACCACGGAAGCCTAATAATATCAATCTCACTACCAGTAATGTCAGGTAAATACCATCACAGGGACAAGCAATGCACATTAATAAAAAGTGTGCACACCATCAGCATGAACTCGTAGCTGGCAATAAGAACCTTACTTTTGCTCTATCCGATATCAGCTGCCTTGTTTTCAGTCGCAGGCAGGCAAGCAGTCACCTTTCTAATGCAGAGCTCCTTGCCTGACAGGAAAAACTGCTGAAGTCATGAGGCTGCTCCAGGCAGAGTCCTTTTGTGAGTCATAGGAAAGCTCCAGCTGCTGACCTCTGGCGAAAAGAGAGCGAGCGAGGGGAGGAGAGGCAGGGGAGGAGAGGCAGAAAAGGAAAGGTTCAAGTGCAGGTTTTCTCCTTAAACCTGGAAGATTATGGGTCAAGAGCTGTGTACAAAGAGTCTACAGCCTGGGTGCAGCTGCTACCACCGTTCGGAGGGGGGAGAGGCACGCAGCTGGCCGAGGGGTCAGCCTGTGGCGATGGAGCCTGCGCTCGAGGTATTTGAGGTATTTGAATCCGGGAAGAGCATCTTTCTCTATTGATAAACGGAGACGTTCCGATGCTCCCTTTCTGTAGCGAGGTCTGATTCTTCTGCTGTAGGTCTAAACCTTTAAAAAGAAAATTCTATTAAGGTCACAGAAATTTATGGCTATCGCTATGCAATGTGGAGATGGCTTGTAAACTAAAGGGGGAAATAATGCTAGGCTTTGAGCTGTAAAGTACGGAACTCCCTTGACTTGAAGTGGAGAGAGTGGTTCTTCTCTCGAAATCTCCCAGGTACTACATTGCAGAGCTGAACCACAAAAGACAAGCTGTAGTATTGGTTGGTATGCAGTGGATTCAAAATTTCAATAATTAGCTTATGATTATTAGCACTACCATACTAGAAAATCACCCCCTAAAAATAATTTAGGTAAAAGAGAGACTGGGAGCCATAGTTAAACAAAGAAAAATTGGAAAATATGCAGCAAAATGAGCTTTAGATTCATCTAAGTGTTACAGACATAATGCATTTCAGCAATTGATACCATTACAGTCTTTTTTTTAGGGATCTGACTTTCAAGAAACATGGCTTTTGGGGGTGTAGGAAGATTAGAAAACATGAAGACAGAGAATCAGGCAAATAAAAGAAAATAGTTTTGCCACCCACTGAATCTTAACTTTGCATAAATTTTACTCTGCTTTCTTTTTTCTGTAGCTTATGAACCTAAAAGAAGCATCCTGTTCCATGACTTCCTTCCACCCCCAGGGACTTCAGGCTGTCAGGGCCAGGAAGTTAATGAATAAAAGGCCACGGAGTAACAGCAATTCTTTTAAGGAAGAGGATCTGAGGCAGGGTTTTCAGTGGGTGAGTGAGCTGCTGAGGTTGGTCCAGAAGAATTCAGTGTGTGAGCACCTAGGGCCCCTGGCCCTGACTTTCCACGTACACTGTAGCAATGCTGTCCTCTCCTGGGGGTAGAAAAAAAGTCAACAATAAAAAGAGTGCTCTTTCTTTCTCCCTCATCCCTTTAAGCAGAGGAAGAACCTCCCATTTGGGGCAGCCTCGTCCTACTTGAACTTGGAGAAGCTGGGTGAAGGTTCTTATGCTACAGTTTACAAGGGCATTAGCAGGTGAGTGACTCACAGCTGCAGGAGATTATAAAAATGAGAGGCCCACCCCCTCGTTTTACATCGTAAAGCCAGATGATCCATCTCAGAAGTTCAGAGTTTGGGACCTGTGCAAGACACAAGGCAGTAAGGAGAGTCAATGATGTTTTGAATAGCCTTGAAAGAAAACCAGTCATGCTCTGCTCCTATTAAGATCAGCCCACTAAAACATTGATCGGCATTTCTGCTCTTTTATTCAATTCAAAGAAACATTGATCCAAAGAACAATCCCGCCTGTGGGTAAGGTGTAGACCCCACCCAGGCCTCCCTAAGTGACAGTGACTCAGGTTCGAACTACAACCTGTTGCTTTTGCAGCCTCATTCTGTCACCTGGCCTCAGAAGAACCTTAGAAGAAACTAAGGTTGGTTTCTGTGAAGTAGGAGATATGCAAAAAATAATAAATCCTGTTTTTTCTACACTTAGAAAATATACGAAATGACTGGAGAATAATAATACTCCTTATTCAAAAGCCAAATACTCACTTTGGAAAATTGAATTCCACTGTATTTTAGTTGAGGTGGGAAAATTAGAGGATCTATTCTTTTTTATTCCATGTTACTCTAATGGAGAAAAATAATGATTTAATAGTGGTTAAATGTTCTTTGTTTTTTGTGTAGTTCAGGCTGGCCTTGAACTTACATAATCCTCCTGCCTCAGCCTCCCCTGTGGTGGAATTATAGGCATGCACCACTGATGGCTGGTTTAAAAGTTCATTTTTAAAATGTAATATACCTGCAAAAGAACTATTATTTACCTTAGAGTTTGCATGTTATTATTTTTATTTGTTAAAACAGATTTGTAAAGGAAATATAATTTTAAATATATTGAATAGAAGCAGGATTTAATTCATGTCTGACGATTACCCTAGGAACCAAGAATATAAGATTTCCTTCAAGAAACTCAGCCCGGTAGTAGGTTGAAAAGTGCACTAGAAATACATGTTCAAGTGCACAGAAGGAATAAGTAGAGGTATAATACTTACAGCAAGATTTATAACAGAATTAATAAAACTTGATCACAAATATCCATAAATACTGGACTAGGTAAGTGATCAATTCCATAAAATTGTACTCAGCCATCTAATGTATGGACTAGATGTAGTAATATGAAAAGATGTCTAGTATTTTAAGAGAAAAAAGGCAAGTTACAGAACAATATGTACCCTCTTACACACTCAGATGTGTTGTGCAAATGTAGATTTGTATGTACATAGAAGAGTCAGGAGAAATAGATGAAAGATATTACTTCTAGGGGTTGAATCTACGTCAGGGAAACAATGATCACTCTTAAACTTTTTATTTTATTCTCCACCACAAAGACATTTGATTTATAACATAAAACCCATTTCAAAATACCAAAAAGGCATTTGATAAGTTCAATATCAATTTCTAGTAACTCTATATAAGCCAGGCATGGTGGCACATGCTTGTAATCCCAGCATTCAGGAGACTGAGGCAAAAGGATGGCCATGAGTCTGAGGCCAGCCTGGTCCACATAATGAGTTCAAGGCCAGTGTGGACTATATAGTGAGACCCTGTCTCGAAAACAAAAAACAAGCAAAAAAAAAAAACAAACAAAAAACTCTAAACAAAATAAGAACAGAATGAATGACAATTCCTCAATTATGTTGTAGAATATTTCAAGTCAACAGCTTACATGCTTTTTTGTTAAATACTAGGGACATTACTGTTAAATTTGAAAGAGGACAAGAAGGTTCATTATGCATTATTGATAAAAATTATCTCAGCTGGGTGTGTTAGTGCACGCCTATAATCCCAGCCACTTTGGAAGTAGAGGCAAGGTGGTCACTATTTCATGGCCATCCTGGGCAATCCAGTGAGACTCTGTCTCTGAATAAAACAATAAAAAGGACTGGGGATGTAGCTCAGTGGTAGAGCAATGAAAGAGAAAATGCTGAATATCAATTTTTGTGGATTACAGTACTATCTCCCTAAGAGAATTATCTGAAAAACTATTAGAGGTAATAACAGAACAGCAAGAATGATCAGTTACAAAATCAATGTATACTTGTCATAAATTATCTTATGTATTAGAAATAACCATTTAGAAAATGTAGGGAAAATTACTCTCACAATAACAACAAGAATGTGATTATTTACATTGAAAAGCTCAGAATCTATATATTTTCTGAGGAACATAAAAGACTTAAAGAATTGGATAGACATTCATTCTACTAAAATTTATTAATTTTTATATTATAATATCTATTATGTGCCAGGCAATATTTCAGCAGATAAGACTACATTGGAAGACAAGAGACAAATATTTCTGCTTTTATGGAGGCTAGGAAGGATGAGATAGGCAATAACCAAATTAGTAAAATACAGAGAGTGAAAAGTGCTGTGGAAATGAACAAAACAGGGAAGAGGGATAGGAGAGCCAGAGTTGGGGAGTAGATTATGATCTCAGGAGGTCTCACTGGGAAGGAGATACTGGAATAGGGACTCCAGGAAGGAGGCAGCAAGTGAAAAGGTCACTGAGGCAGAATCAGTTTTGGCAGTGGAGGGAGAGAGTGGAGGAGATGAGAGCCAGGAGGAAAGGGTAGTGTGTGTCTGGGCATCATCTAGAGTCTTGTACAGTGACCATTCTAGGGATTAAGTACAGGATATTTGGATTAGAAAATCTTATAGTGTAAAGATGTCAGTGAGTCTTTGAGTTTTGACGTATTCTAAATACAGTTGTCCCCTAGAATCCTGGGGGGGTTGGTCCAGGAGTCTCTTGGACATCAAAATCCTTGAATGCTGAAGTCCCTTATATAAAGTGGTGTGGTATATAATATAACCTAATACCTAATGCAATGTAAATGCCATGTAAATAGTTGTTACACTGTATTGTTTAGGGAATGATGACAAGGGAAGAAAGTCAGTACATATTTAGTACAGATGCAATTTTTCCCAAACATTTTTAATCTATGGTTGTTTGAATATACCGATGCAGATCCCACCGATACAAAGGGCTGTCCATATATTCTGAGCTACAATACTACAATTGTGTAGAACAAGTATAAAAGACAGATCAAAGAAGTAGGATTTTGAAAAGTCCAAAACCATTACAAATCAAGTATTAGTAAGATCTAATATACAATCACAGTGGCATTTCAAGTAAGCAGAGGAAAGATGGTTCAATAAATGGAACTGGGATAATTGTTAGCCATTTGGAAAGAAATGAATTTATAATTTGAATATAGTTGGTTAAAGAGTTAACTGTAAAGGAAAACATAAAAGAACTAGAGGAAAAGACAAATTAAGTTGTCTAAACTTGAGGCTGCAATAGTCTGTCTGAGTGTAACATAAGGGAAGTTGCCCCACCTATTCAAATATGTGCCAGGGAGCCCCAATTCTGACACACCTTAATAATTAATTTCATTGAGACAGTGATGGCCAAATTGATATGGAAAACACAAAATAAAATTCAGTCCTTTATTATAGAGAGACTTTAGTATTTTTATATATTTATAGTATTTTTTGCAATACCAAGAATTGAACCCAGGGTCTCCTCTCACATGCTAGGCATGCTCTACCACTGAGGTATAGCCCCACCCCTTTTTCACTCTTATTTTAAGAAAGGTTCTCATTAAATTGCCCAGGTTAGTCTATAACTTGTGATCTTCCTGTCTCAGCCTCCCAAATAGCTGAGATTACAGGCATGTACCATTTTGCCTGGCTAACTTTCAGGATTAAAAAAACTCAACATATTCTGTGACCATGAATGATTAAGAAGATTAAGTACAAAGCATTTTCTACACGTATTTGACCAAAAAAACTTTTTGTAGTGATGTAGAACTTACACAGTGTCTAAGTAAAACACTTTGGAAAATATTGAGCACCATAAAGAATTTAAAGTTCAGGGCTTCAGACACAGCCAGGTATGGTGACATACACCAGTGCTCCCAGGATTTGGGAGGTTTATTATGATCCAGCCTGGACTATATGGTAAGACCCTAACTCAAAAATCAAACAAACGTATTTCAAAGACAAAATAAGGCAATTGATGAAAATATGTAAAATATTTCAATAAAAAGGTGGCCAAATAAGCAAAACACATACACAAATAGAAAAGACCAATGAACTTAGGAAAATTTAGTTTTATAAGCAAAAAACTGAAATTAACACACGATCATCTTTTTTATCTATCAAATAGGCCAAAATGTGAAGTTTAAGCAAAAACAAATCCTTACTGATGAGGGAATGCCAAAGCAACATGAAGCCAGCAGAAAGAGCTTCCAAAAGATAACCCTACACAAATTTTAGAAATAGGATCCAGGTGTGGAGCCACACACCTATAATCCCAGCACTTAGGAGGCTGAGGAAGGAAGGTCGCTGAAAGTTCAAGGCCAGCCTGGACAACATAGTGAGTTCAAGGCCAGCTCGAACTGCAGCATGAGACCCTGTCTCAAAAAACAAAAACAAAAAAAATATTTTTTTTCAGAAGTAGAGTAGTATTGAGCCAGGCATGGTGCATGCTTGTAATCCTAGCATTCTGGAAGACTCACACCGGGGGATTGCAAGTCTGAGCCTGCTCAGGGCAACTTAGTGACTTAGCGAGACTCTTCCTCAAAATTAAAAATGAAAAAAGGGGCCCAGGGATTTAGCTCAGTGGCACTACACCTGCCTCACAAGCTCAAGGTCCTGAGTTCAATCCCTGGTACAGCAAGAACAAAAGGGGGGGGGGCTAGGAATATAACTGAGTGTGAACGCCCTGGGCTCAATCCCCTGTTCAAAAGAATAATAATAATGATAAAGTATTGAATTATAACCCAAAGAATAAAATATGAGTCCATAGTGATATAAATGGTTCATGATGGCACACACATGTAATCCCAGCACTTAGGAGGCTGAGGATCACCTCAAGTTTGAGACCAACCTGGGCTACATAAGGAATTCAAGGCCAGTCTGAGACCCTGTCTCAAAAAACAAATGAATAAATGATTTGATACATTAATAATTAGAGGGAAGAAATAAATTTACCACCCAGTAGAATTCCAACTAATTTATGTAGAAAATCTACCCTAAAAGAGGTGCATAGCAGCTCTCCAATCCTTAAATGTGGGTACTCATAGTGATACTCATGCTAAAGTACAGTACAGAAGTGGGCAAAAGTAGCTTCATCATAGAGAACCAAACATGTTACCTCAGACAGATAGGTAAGGTCAACATCAAAAGCTGAAAGTCAGGATGACAGTATGTACCCTAAATTAGATCTGATAAAGAAGGCTTCTTACATCCCCCGAACTCATAATCCCAGTCTCATAAGAAAAAGATCAGAAAAATTCAAAGAGAGGGCCATCCTACCAAACATTCCTCAAAACTGTCAAGGAAGGGCCAGTGATTTAGCTCAGTGGAGCTGCGCCTGCCTCACAAGCGCAAGGTCCTGAGTTTGATCCCCAGTACCAAAAAAAAAAAACTGCCAAGGAAAATCTGGGAATACCAGTCACAAGGAAACTAAGAGGACATGACAACTAGATAGAAACCTGAATGGAACCCTAGACAATAAAAAGGATATAAAGTAAAAACTAAAGAAATCCTAATAAACTATGAGTTTTAGTTAATAATATGTATCAATATTGATTTGGTAATTATAACTACTGTGCCAAACTAATGTAAGATATATATATGTGATATATCTAGATATATATATGCAAATGTTCTATATTAACTCCTTAATTTTTCTGTAGATCTAAAAATGTTCTAAAAAATGAAGTTTAAAAATACACAATTCTGAACAGTGTTAACCAGGGAGTGGTGCAGTATCCGCCCTCCTGACCACTAGTGCAACAATTTGGGAACATGAGTTCAAATCAATAAAAACATGTGTGCTGCATACTCTTTGACTTAGCAATTGCACATCTTCCCTAAGAACATATTGATTGGGGCTGTGTGAAAAGATTTACCTACAAATATGATCATAACAGTATTTTTATAATAGCTAAAAGCCAAAAACAGTTTACAAGCATTTGGAATTGCCAAAACACATCGTGGCATATTTATCATATTGTACAAGAATGAATGAAAGAAACAAATTTTAAATGAGAAAGAATAGATGACTACTAATATTATAGGAACCCCCCTGTATTAAAACAGCCCATTTAACCCTGCATTGAAGTCTTGTGTTCTCAGTACTTACCTTCCATCACGAACAATACCTATGAATAAGGGAAGAGTGGGAGGAGTTCGACAGATTGTGGAGAGGCTGGGTATTCCAGGCAGTGCTTTGGAGGCAGTGGAAAAATCTGGCTGTCACTCTGAGTCAAATGCAGAAATGTAGTGGGTTTTGAAGGAGAAATGACTTTTTTTTTTAACTTTCTTTTTATAAAGGTTCCCCCAACTACTCCATTGAAAATAGCACGTGTGAGGCCCGGGATTTAGCTCAGTGGTTCTTGTGAGTGTTCGAGCTGGGAAAGTGTTAGCGAGAAGTCACATGGGAAATGAGGGTGGTTGCAGAAGTGCCCAGGAAGGAAATGAAGGGAGCAATGGGCTGCAAAGTAGTACAAGGAAGGTGGTTCCTCTGGATTTGTTTCCTTCAAATGCTCTATAATGATCACATACCACTTCAGTAAAGAGAAAACCATGTTTTGCAATATATCTATGTATATACATTTTACACCAGCTATCTATATAATATATATAGCTATATAGTTTTGTTTTGAGAGAATTGTAGATCCATATGCTAGACTATATTTCTGAAGGAGAACTGCTTTTTTAAAAGCCATCTTTAGTAAAAATTGCTGCTTTGAACTATTTCCATAAATGTGTGCCATATCTTCTACCCCCTTTTCTAGGATCAATGGGCAACTGGTGGCTTTAAAAGTTATTAGCATGAACACAGAGGAAGGAGTCCCATTCACAGCTATCCGGGAAGGTAAGAATAGGAAAAGTGGACAAAGATCTGTTTCGATTCCTTGCTTTGGTGAAAAGAAAGAAAGAAAGAGAGAGAGAGAGAAAGAGAGAGAGAGAGAGAGAGAGAGAAAGAAAGAAAGAAAGAAAGAAAGAAAGAAAGAAAGAGCGAGCAAGCAACCAAGCAAGCAATCACGCAAGCCAGGGATTTAGCTCAGTGGTTCTGGCACCTGCCTTGCAAGCACAAGGTCCCAGTTCGATCCTCGGTACCAAAAAAGAAAAAAGAAAGAAAGAGAGAAAGAAAGGGAAGAAAAAAATTCATTAGGTCTATTTAGCATCTGGTTTCTGGTATTTCTACAAGTAACCTTTTTTGGTGGTACTTGGGGTTGGACCCAGGACTGTCACACTGAACTATGTTCCCCACTCATTTTTTTATCTTTTACTTTGAGACAAGACTTCACTAAATTACTAAGTTGCCCAGGGTGGGCTTGAACTTTTGATCTTCCTGCCTCAGCCTTCTAGAATGTTGGGATTACAGGTATGCACCACCATGCTGGGCTAGGAGTAATATTAAATTATTTTATTTTATTTTACTTTGAGACAGAGTATTAGTCTGTATCCCAAGCTGCCCTCAAACTAAGAGTTTCATGCCTTGGCCTCCTGAGTGCTGGGTTTATAGGCATGTAGCACCACACCCAACAAAATTTGATTGATTCCAGTTTTCCAACAGTTTTTACATTATTATTTTATTATTTATTCTTTAGGATATTAAGATTCAAAATGGTTATGTCACCTGACTGAAATTTTGAACTCAATGAATATTTACTAGATAATTTCCATCTGCTTGGCCTCACTCTGGGTGCTAAAACTTTGTCCATACAATGCCGAAAAATCATGTAAAAGAAAGAAAAATATAATATAATATTAATTCTTCATGGGGAATTTGCCTGAACATCCTTGTTGTTTGATAGTATTTGAAAAACTCCAGGAAGGTGTGTGTGCCTAGCACAGTGCTATATTTCCTTTGTACCCTGGGCAGCAGAGCAAGTAGGTGAGGATGGACTTGGGTCTGCACTGTAGGCCTGTGAGGTTCTAGTGTGGCTCAGTTCACCTCTCGGAGACTTAGTTTATTGCAAATGGAGACTGGTAAGAGTAAAGTACATATTTCATGGAGTTACTGAGGGTAAGATGAGGACTTATCACAGGGTCTATTTTCAGAGTCCAGCCGATACTGACTGTTGTTCTCTTCTTGCTCTACTTCTCGGTGATGTTTTGTTGATCATTAATACAACAAATGATTTATACTATAAATCTCAAAAAGCCAACATAGTGAAAATAAATTGCTAAAAGTATAATTTATCAAATGGCTTATTACATGAGCCATTTAAAGTGATGTTGGGATTGCTATCCACTTCAAGAAGGAAAAAAGGAAAGGCATTTCCCTAACCTCACTTTTTCTCCCTTCTCAGTATTTACCTTTCCTTCTTTACCAAGCACATTCTATATGCAAAGCACATTACTGAATGTTGCAAAGATGAGAAGAAAAACCCCAATCTTTCTTTCATGTTGTTTTAATCCTAACACAGCAGATATTCAAGTAACAAATATATAAAAGATGTGCACAAGGATGAGAACAAGTTTGTTTTAGTGCCTAATGGAGCCAGTGAATTTTGAACTGAGCTTAGAGGGATAGGTTATGCAAATAGACATGGAAAAAGCAATTCAGAAAATGAGTTTATAATTTAATTTGATGCCATTTTGAAAAGTCTTTTAGAGCCCCTGGGAAATAAATGGTTTTGAATTTAAGTAGAAGGGCCAAATGGGTATCAGTTTAGCCAGAGCTCATCCTGGTAGGATCAGGTGCACTCTGGGCAACGCATAGTTTTTAGTGTTTAATGTAATGGGAGCTGCATTTACTGATGTTCTTATTAGTGATTTCCATAAAAGGATGACCACATCCAGAAACAGACATGTGGAGAGGGTAAAGAGTATTTCTGAACATAATAGAAGCTCCCAGGTCGCCCACCTAAGGGGAGAGTACGTATGCCCAGGTTCACCTCCTTCCCCGTATCCTGTGTGAGCTCAAGTTTGCCTTTTCTCGGCTTTTGCTCACAGCCAAGTTTTTCAGGTCAACATTTGATGGTTTTACCAGTTTTGCTAACAGATGGCTCTCAGCATGGTTCACAAAAGCTGGATCTGTATTGTTCTGTATGCTAAAGGTTTCTTTCATTGCATATTTAGCAGGGAGCTGCCTCTCCCTCACAGGTGTTTACAATTACATTTAGCATTTGACTGCGGACTCCATCCCTTTGCTTTATGGACTTCCCTTTACTGAAAGCTTTGCTTGTACAATATTGAAAACCACAAAAAGATTTTTGACACATCAGAGGTTGTTAGTCTTCCAGTTTCTAACAATCAATGCTTCTTTTTCCACTGGTGTAAGAGCTTGGAGCCCTTGTTAGCAAGGCCCTCTCTCCTCAAGTAGATGTGAGGCCTCATTTGAGAACATTGGCACTGTCCCATTTTTGCTATAAGAACTCTAAGGATGTGAGGCCAGGGACACGGGAGGTTAAATTAGAAGGACTGGAAGGTAAAATAAGAACAGCTGGAGTTCATTAGTTAACATCCAGGGTCACTAGCTAAAAAGGCAATCAAAAGTCACGTGCAGAAAAACCGAACAAGTAATGTAGCCTTCTTTGAAAAGCCTTGAAGCAGGAGTTGGGTTTCCAGAGCAGTTGGGCTACTCTGCTGGCATGGCAGCCTGAGATTTTTTGAGCAGGATTTGCTGCATGTTCAGTTTCTGTGTAGGTAGAATACAAGTGGCAGTTTATTAGTCAGGTCATTTGGAGTGCTATTTGTTTTCATTTGCTCTTAACATGTAACATCATGAAATTAACAGAAGTATGAACAGTACTCAGGGAAACATATCTTAATACATGTGCCAGGTCTTTTCCAGACCTCTTTCAATCCTCTTAAATTTAAGAGATAATATATTATTATTCTACTGTATAGCCATCATTCAAACCACATCTCTGATTCAAAAATCTGTAACTTTCTATACATTCATTCTATAAATATTTATTGGGTATCCACTATGGCCAGCACTCTCCTACTAGATAAACAGTAATGTACAAAATAGACATGTTCCTTCCTACCTTCTCTCTTTTGCTAATTAAAAAAGATGAAAGGCCTTCATAGTAACTTAGAAAATCTTTCATAATTGGCTCAGAATTATAATCCAAATATTTCTTTTTACAAGCAGGTGAAAATACCTTCATTTGAATAGGTCAATAGTTTGTGTTTTCTGTAAAAACGGTGTTTCTTAATTTTATTAAACTCTCAATATCTTAATAATGTGCCTTATTTTAAATATCTTTCTAAAAATGGTCACCTTCTGGTTTAAACCAAGGACCTTTCACCTGTTAGTGATATTTTCTTGGGAAGCAGTCATTTAACTCACCTCTTTTGAGAAGTAAACACATGATATACTCCTACCTCTGCAGTCTTTTATTTTGCCCCTTACACTAATTCTAGGAAGTAAAATGTGTTATTTTTGTTGTAGTGGTGAAGGAATCTGAGCTCAGAGAAGTTGGGTAACTTATTTGAGGTCACAGAGCTAGTAATTAGAGTTTTTAGGTACTAGGACCCATATCTATTCTATTTTAAATCCTTTCTTCTTTGTTATATAAATTTGGAAGGGCATTTCTCCTTTACGAAGAGGAAAATTAAAAATAGAAATCTGTTTTTATCATGTATTCCATATAAACATTAAGGAAAATGCAGGAAAACCAATTTTTTTTTCTTGGTTCCGGGATCAAACTCAGGACCTTGTACTTGCTAGGTAGGCACGGTACCACTGAGCTAAATCCCCAGCCCAGGAAAAACATTTTAAAGAAAAAAATATATAATATTGTATATTCAGCAATTTTGATTCTATCATTGATTCTAAAGCACCAGTAATTGCAGCATTTAAATCAGAAGTAGTTTCAGCTAAAAATATTTTTAAGATCAATTTGCTAGTAGAAAATTGTAATTGCATTACAAAGTAATTATTCCCAACCCATATATTTTGAAAACTGAGCCAAAAATAGTCTAAAGAAACTTGCTGACGTTATATAATAGGATAAAGGAGGAGTCTGATTAGAATCTCTGCGTCCATGTGGTAGTATATGCCTGTAATTCCAGCACTCATGAGCCTGAGTCAGGAGGATCAGGAATTCAAGGCTAGCCTGGGCCACATAGTAAGACTCTGTTTCAAAAAGCAAAATCAAGACAAAAAACCTCTAGTCACCCATTACCAAAAAGTATTAGAGCAGTCCTGGTTGACAAGTTTGCTACTGAATTCAGGCAAATCACATCATGGATATAGCATCTTCACATATTCATAGTTATATCTTTATAAAACACAATAATGGCAAGACGGAGATATTCACAACTAAAGCAAAAAAGGTAGAGTAACATCAAGACATTATGACATGTTCAATTACAAAGCACTATTTTTTTAAACTTTACTAAACCCCAAATCAGAACAAAATCCAACCAAGAAGTTAAATATTTTTGTCATGAAATGAAAATATTTTTTCTAAATTATTAAATATTTTACTTTATAATATTATTATATCTAAATTATTAGATATCTATGAGCTGAATAAACATCAGTCATGAGTAATTTTTCCTGATCTTTGGTATTATTATTTTTTTAATATTTCTTCTTTGACTTCCTGGGGTTTTAATGATCATACTAAGCTGGGCAGGGGATGTAGCTCAGTGGTGCCTCTCCTGCCTGGCAAGCGGGAGGTCCTAAGTTCGATCCCAGGTACAAAAAAAAAACCAAAACAAAAGCTATCTTTACATCTAAGTTAATATAAAATTCTTGTAACAATGTCTTGTATGTCTTAAATACTCAATAAGTGTTAGCTATTATTATCATCACCATTATAAAATTATTTTAAAAGCAATGTGTAGCTCAGTCATGGTAGAACGTGTATTTACAGTGCACAGGCTCTCGGCTCGATCACTAGCATC